GGGTGTGGGTGGGGGCTGCGGGTGAGAGGTGGGGGGGGAGGGGGGCGGGCGAGAAGGAAGAAATCTCGGACAGCCGCGAAGATGGGGCAGCTCTGGGATATACACAAGCTGAAAACTCAGCCGAGGCCTCACTGTCTGAGGCTGAAGTCTCCCGAGGAAAAACGGCTGGTACAGCCGGCACGGTGCCTCTCTCCTGTCCACCTGACACACAGACAAATTTAGTCTCTTCTGTTACCCCTGACAGGGCAAGGAGCAAACAAACCACATCAAACAGTAGCTTAAAATTAATTTATTTAACAAATATAGCTATAATATAAATGATAATAAAATTTCAAATATACAGTATATTACATAGTACACAGAGCCCCTTCCAAAGGAGCTGGCGGAAGAACAAACACAGGTAACAGACAGTGCTGTTACACAGGGACGGGAGAGGCTGCTCTACACTTCTGCCTCTTGACCTCGCCTTGCAGAAAGAGAAACGTCCTGTCTTTCAGCCCCCTTTTTGCCGTTTCTCTTCCACAGTTCCTTCCCCCACGATGGGGGGCTCTCCCCAGGCTGCCAGTCGGACACAGGGAAGTGGGGCACGGCTGGCCCATCACTGCCCTGTGCTGGGGAGGAGCTGGGGCGATGCCTCGGGTTTCTCCCAGCTAGAGAGCGGAGCAGCTCCTAGGACTGCTGAGGAGAGTGGAACGGCACTGGACTGGGAGCCAGCATCACAGGGCGAAGCAGAGAGGCCGAGCAGAGCTGGACTGGGGAAGTCTCTGCCACGGGGCCCGTGGGGAAGTCCACAGCGAGGAGCAGGGAGGGAGCGCGTGCAGAGCCGGTGAGAGCAGACAGCCGGCAGGCTGGGCTCGGCGGGGCTCAGGTCTATGTGAGGTGGTACATGCTGTATCCCACGTGCGCTGTGTACAGTCCCACAGGAGCCACGGGCAGCCCTGCCCGCTGGAAAGGGCTGGAGGCACTGTACAGAGAGGCGCCGGCCACGGCCGGGCCGCCCAGCGGGAAGGAGATGCCGAAAGCAGCGGGCGGGAGCATGGGCTTGGCTGCCATCTTCAGCTTCTCCAGCTCGGCCTCCTGGAGCCGCTTGGCCTTGGCGCGGCGGTTCTGGAACCAGATCTTCACCTGGGTCTCGGTGAGGCTGAGCGAGCTGGAGAACTCGGCGCGCTCGGCGATGGACAGGTACTGCTTCTGCCGGAACTTCCTCTCGAGGGCCAGCAGCTGGGCCGTGGTGAAGGGCGTCCGGGGCTTCCTGTTCGTCTTGTGCTTGCGCAGGGTGCAGGCTGGGGGGCTCAGCCGCCCTGCTCCGAGGAGCAGCCGGAGGAGAGGGGGAAGGAGAGAGACACCTCGGTTAGCAGTACCCAAACCCGCACGCCCCACAGAGCCCTCACCCTACAGCAGCTGGGGCGGAGAGAAAGGGGAAAATAAGGTCCCGCTCAAAGTGGCCCAAAAACTCCAGGGCTGCCCGAGGCACGCTTCAAATTGATGTGAAGTAAAGAAAGCTGGTTCTTTACTAAGGAATTAGGCTTTTCGAGACTCCTGGCACCGAAGTTACTCGCAGTGCTTCATAGCAAGAAGCTCTCCGACTCCACGGAAAAAGCTCGGCACAGGGCAGGAGTCAGGGGTCAGACACCCACACAACCTCCACCTCCTGCCTTCACGGCTCCCGGCTTATACAGAGGAGATGTAAATGAAGCGAGTGACCCTCCAAAAAAATATGTCCTGTCCTTTTTATTGGATTAAGGAAAAAAATAAACAAAACGGGCTGGCTTCTCGGACTCACGCCCTCTTCATTAGGCCCCTGGGAACCGGATTAAGCATGTAATTAATTACGAGCTCTGAATTCACACTCAGCCTCTATCTACTGGTCTTCACCGGTCTGCTCCTCTCCTCTCGTTTAACATTTCTAAGGGTCCTCAACCTCGATCTGCCCCGGGTTTGCTTAGCAACAACGACTTCTACTTTGCAATTTAAATAAATTAAACTACTGCGATACTCTACACAAGTCCTTTTCGGGAAACCTGCCTTTCTCCAAGGGAGAGAGAAAGCAGCTCTGTTCGCAGGTCTGCTAAGAGCACCCCAAACGCTGCAGAGAGCTTCAGCCCAAGCTCGCCTCTTCCCACAAGAGCCCGGGCGGGGAGGGAGGGGGATCCGGCGGAGGGCAGGCGGCCCGGGCTGTCCGGCCCCGGTCCGCCGCACCCCCGGGCTGGAGAGGATTAACGGGCTTTTCTGATCTCGGCCCTCCCGCTGCTATTTTTATTATTTTAGATCTCTCCGTTGTAAAGCAGGAAAACGTCAGTAACTGCGGCTCTTCAGACTTTGGAGATGCAGCACTTGAGATAGCAGCCGGCGGGGCGGAAGCCCGC